ATCAGAGAGTATCGGTTGCGGCTAAATCCTCAGAAATGTACATTTGGTGTTACAGCAGGAAAATGCTGGGGTTCTTGGTCACACAAAGGGGTATCAAGGTCAATCCTTCCAAAATCAAGGCCATCTTAGAAATGTCACCACCGAGGACTGAAAAGGAGATGTGAGGCTTTCTGGGTAAAGTGCAATTCATAAGACGGTTTATTGCAAAATTAACCTTGACTTGTGAACCACTCTTTGGTCTCCTGAAGAAAGGAAATAAGTTCCAATGGGACGACCGATGCCAAGTTGCTTTCGAGCAGATCAAGCAATATTTACAAAATCCACCTGTGTTGTCACCGCCTAAGCCGGGGAAACTGTTGATTCTGTACCTGTCAGTGACTGAAACAACAATGGGCTGCATGCTTGCATAGGAGTCTGAGGACAAAGTGGAGAAAGCTATCTACTACCTGAGCAAGAAAATGCTGGATTACGAGACCTGCTACACTCCGCTGGAGAAGGCTTGTCTGGCCTTGGTATAGGCTACCAAGAAGTTAAGGCACTACCTGTTAGCTCACTCTATAATACTGGTTTCAAGATTAGATCCCATCAAATATCTCTTCGAGAAATCGGCACTTACGGGTAGGCTAGCTCGTTGGTTGCTTCTGCTTTCCGAATTTGATCTGAAGTACATGACGCGCAAGTCAGTAAAAGGGAGTGTGGTAGCGGAGTTCCTAACCGACCACCCAGTTGAAGGGGATGAAGTAGTAGAATATCTATTCCCAGACGAGGCCATTCTGCATGTTGAAGAAGAGACTTAGACGATGTACTTTGACGGAGCATCAAATCAATACGGGTATGGGATAGGGGTGTTGCTGATAGCACCTAACAATTCCCGTATACCTCTAGCATTCAAACTCTAGTTCAAAGTGTCGAACAATGAGGCAGAGTATGAGCCATGTATTGCTGGATTGGAAGCCGCCCTAAAACTAGGGGCAAAACGGTTGGATGTCATCGGGGACTCGAACCTTGTTGTATCTCAAGCTAAAGGAGATTGGAAAGTAAAGAAGAAAATATGAGAATCTATCACCAGACCTTGGACGTTCTGATTCCTCGGTTTGAGAAACTGAACTTCGCTCATTTGTTAAGAGAGAACAACAGGTTTGCTGATTCATTAGCAACTCTATCTTCTATGATAGACATCGCTTTTGGAGTCCGGATGCGTCCAATCATCATTGAACAGAAATTTGTACCGGCCTACGAGCTGATTGCTGCCATAGATGAGGTACAATATCAAAACCCCTGGTATTACGACAGCTGGAACTTCTTGAAAAATGAGGCGTATCCACCAAGGGCAAATGCCAAAGATAAGAGGGCAATTCGAACAACAGCTGCTCAGTTCATTGTCTGCGGGGGTAAACTATACAAGAGGGGTCATCTCGGGATGCATAAGCTATGCGTTGATGCTGAAGAATCCAAGCGCCTGATGGAGGCCATCCATGGAGGAGAGTGCGGAGCACACATGAGTGGGGTGATGCTAGCTCGAAAGATCCTTACACAGGGTTATTACTGGTCAACCATGGAGGAGGATTGTATTGGCTTTGTCCAGCGATGCCACAAATGTAAGATCTGTGCAAACCGTATGAACATTCCGCCGTTGAAGCTGTACAACATGACTTCGGCATGGCCGTTTTCAGTCTGGGGGATTGATGTAATTGGGGCTGTCACCCCGAAGGGATCCAACGGGCATGAGTATATTCTGGTAGCGATAGACTATTTTACGAAATGGGTTGAGGCCCAATCTTATGCGGTGTTGAAGGCATCGCATGTCGCTATGTTCATCAGAAACAACATCATCTGTCGCTATGGGGTCCCGAATGAGATTATTTCGGATAATGGTTCGCACTGCAAAAAGGAGGTGATCGACTTGTTAAAGAAATACAACGTGGCTTTTCATAAGTCATCTACATATCGGCCGTAAACCAACGGAGCAGGTGAGGCCGCCAACAAGAACATCAAGCACATTTTGCAGAAGATGGTAGAAACCTACAAGGACTGGCTAGATAAGCTCCCATTTGCTCTTTGGGGCTACCGGACTTCAATTCGAACTTCTACTAGGGCAACTCCGTATTCCTTGGTCTATGGGATGAAGGCTATTCTTCCTATCGAAGTTGAGGTTCCGTTATTACGGGTATTGGCTGAGTGTCAGATAGCTGAGGCAGATTGGCAGCAAAGCAGGTTCGAAGAACTCATGCTCTTTGATGAAAGAAGACTAAAAGCACTGTACCACGTCCAGGGTTATCAATGAAGAATTGCCAGGGCTTTCAACAAGAAGGTTAGGTCCAAGAATTTGAAAGAGGGGGATCTAGTGCTCAAAGACAACCGGGCTCCCATCTATGACCCTAGGGGCAAGTTCAAACCCAATTGGACTGGTCCTTATATCATCAAGTCTATCTGGTCGGGTGGAGCTGTCGTTCTGATGGATTTAGATGGCCTTGAGTTCTCCTAGCCGATCAAAATGGACAAGTTGAAGAAATAGTAACTCTGAGTGGCTCGCTAGGCCGAAAACCCCGAAAGGGCAACCTAGGCAAAAGTTAGAGCATGAAAAATTAGAAATAATAAAAACTGAGCTCACAAGGTTGAAAACCCAGAAAGGGCGGCCTTGGCAAAAGTTAGACCACAAAAGGAGAGTGTTAATACACGAGTGAACCTGAATCGAACTACGTAAGGCTTGATTCCCATCTTCGAGATACGTAGGCAACTTCATTTTGAAGTCCAGCCATAAACACTTCCAAATCAACTTTGTCCATGTGATCATGTGGGTCATCTCTGTCTATTCTGTATTCAAGAGTTCGGTTGTGATCTCCAGTGTAGTGCTATTCAGACTAGGGACAACTTTCCAGTTGTTTTGGATCAAGGGTTGTACATCTCAGTGATCGATCTCAGGCGTGTCCAATTCTGATCCATATCGCAAATGGTTTTGAAAAGTTTTAATAAAAGTTGATTTTGTTCAAATTAATCTTTTTACAACTTAGACCATTTTTGGACCAAACGGAAAATTTTCAGTACCCACAACCTTCAATTACATTGATTTCAGTTATGAGTTCTCCTACTCTTGAATACAAATTGAAGTTGGTTTTTATTACATTCATAAAGAAAACTTGAAAGTACTGATAAAGCAAATAAACTCGGGGCATGGACAAGTCAGGTGTTCCTGCGTCCCCTCCCAAAGCTTATAGAAGCCTCTGATGCCAAAGTAGGCCCAACCTGCGCCTCTTCATCGAGCCAAGCTATGCACTCATCAGAGAGAGTGCAACTGAAAGTGGGAGTGGGGGCCAGAAGCTCTCTCGTCCTCCAAGCTGTGGCATACCGAGCTAGCTGTGCGCCTCGGATAGGAAATACGGCAGGGTACTCTATCCCTTCTTTCGGACAAGTCTGATCATGCCCAAATTGGTGCCGGAATCGAAATGGGAAGTAAAAGACACAGTGTGTCAGGCCAGTCAGCTGAATGCCCGGTTGCCGGGACATACTGTAGCTCATCACCGGTAGATTAAGCCAGGAGCAGCGCCAAGCAATATTGACAGCGGAAAGGCTACACATCCATTCGCACCACCATCCCTCATCTGGGGCATCAACTAGACATTGCCGGAAGAAATAGCTGCGTGCTGAATATGTTGGGCATGAGTCCACTACTCTCAACTTGTCCATCAACCATATCTATGGAGGGATGAAAAATGAGAGATTAAAGAATAGAGAGGTGTACGTGGAGAGAAAAGTGAGAAAAGGGTTTTGAGAGAAAAACAGAGCCCGCGGGCCGAGTGATGTGAGAAATATATGTGAAATAGGATGGGAAACATTACCTGCAACAGTAGTGGACTCCCCGCGAATCTAGTCGTCTCCCGGCGATCGAAGGCATCCAAGCCCATCAGTGTCTCAGCTAGCGTCATGGCAATACAGCTCTTGTCCTCTTTTAAACCTTGGGTAACCTCAATCAAACGAACGCTAGACCCTCCAGAACCTGGGGCAAGCAAGAAATGAGACAACATGCACAAGCAAAGAGCATGTCGCGAAAACCCTGCCAGTGATGATTGTCGTGGTCACCAGCATCAAAAAATCGATTAATCAAGCTGGGGATGTCCAGTTCTCCATCGCGAGTCCACGCATCCATCCCAAAGCTTGGATATGGCCAAAACGGAATTGGGGCAAGATCTCTTCCTCGCGTCGAGACTCCATCAAAGCTTGAAAATCTTCAAAAGTGGGACACATCTCTTGTCCGTCAAAGCTAAAAACATGAGTTACCGGATTCCAACACCTAGCCGCGGCATGGAGGAACAGAAAACACAGTGGGGTGTGGCTCAGCGTGAATAGTGCGTTTATTCTGAAACCTCGAAAATTCAACTTTTCCGAGCCATCCAACCTTGCAATCCAATTTATGAGGTTTTGGGCAAGAAATGCTTCCATTTGAGGCAAAAATGGAGTTAAAATGAAGGCACCACGAAGCTAGAACCTTCATAGGAGATAAGGCAGTGAGTGGAGGACAGGTGTCGACGTTTCGAAGAGTCTTCCATCGATGGCCAGCACTTGCTTATTAATAGCCGGCAGTGGCTCATCAGTGGCCGGCAGTGGCACACTGATGACCGGTAGGCCAGCCTCTCCTTCAGACTCCCTGACCTCCTCGGTGAAGATCCAATTGTTTGCTGCAGTGGAGTCCTGTTATTTGAGCCTTTTAAGGTCTTGTTTTTGTCCTATCGGACTCAGTTGTGTTTCGTTTAAGACGTTTTAGTCTTCATTTTGTTTATCGAGTTGTAATCATCTTCTTCTCATTTATTGAGTTATTGTAATTTGGTTATCGAGTTGTATACTTGTTAAGGTTTTGTTGTTGCTTATTAAGTTGTGTTGTTTTTATTTGTTGTCTTGGTTCACTACCTGACTTGGCAATACACGAATGTTCAATATTCATCAATCTCACTTTTATGCAAAATAGTGCGATGCGATGCTTAGAATATAAAATGTAACACTTTTTTAACAAAAAAGCTGCTTTCATTCCATCCTGGATTCTTTTTACAAAAGAGCACAAGTTTTGAAGAAAATAAAACTGCCTGAGGCTGTACAATGTGCTAAAACTACTAGCAAAAAAATAGAGAATAAAGCAAAAACATCTGAATCAGTGCCAGTCGCCTCAAGAGCGGGAAGCCCTCCTCGTCCTCTTCCTCGACGAAGGCCCAGAACTACTGCCGTCAGCTCCGCTACCTGAGTCTGAACCCGAGCCATCTCCAGTCTCATCTCCATCCTGAGATGACTCTGATTGTGGACTCACGGCCTCCTCACTCATCTCGTCATCATCATCACTCAGCACGGGCTCTGAAGGGCCACTCTCGCTGTGGGTGCCTCTGCCTCTACCTCGGCTGTCTGTCTGAGCCTGTCTCCCGCTCCTCTCTGCTAATGAAGGAGGTGCTGAAGGACCCGCCTCTGCTCCTGCTGGGGCATCTGATGGGCCTGGCATCAGGAAGGGAATCTGAAAAAGACAATTCGCCAAAACGCATTAGTAATAAAATGTATCAGATGCAAAGAATAATGTGCTGTGAACAGTGAATGATTTGAAGTGTATGTATGCCATAAGTAGTGTATGGGAGTAATGTATCAGATTAGTGTAGTGTGGAACTGTACAAATGCTAGTGTGTCAAGAGAAGACTTTGTGGCATGAAGTGCAGTTTGAAAGAACTCACCGGGATCCTGTAAAGGCTTAGCAGATCCAGACTCGTCTCTATCATCTCTGCCAAGGAGGCCACTAGATCAATGCCCAGCCCTGTGTACTCTATGGGTGCCTGGGAGTGCATCAAAAACATTAGTATCCGATGAAGCATAATTGAAATGAAGTAAATATGCAAAATGTGGGGTTTAGTACATACCGGAGTCGGGCCTCGAATCCCGTCGAGTGCACTCCCAGCTGATACAGGCGCAATGGGGATCTGATAAGTCTCCCCAGAACGTCTCTGATAAGTCAATGAAGTAAGCATCTCTGGCCATCTAGTCTCCTACCTCTCCTTAGGATCTCTTCTCCTACGGGATCTGGTCGCTCTGCCTCTCCCTCTCGCAGCTGGAGTTCTCACCCCCTTACCTTCACGAACGCCGGTCAGAGAAGGCATCAGATGCGTTTGAATGAAGGTCGTGTAGTCGCCCTCTGCACGGAAGTAATCCGTCTCCAGTCCTACCATGAACTGAATCACCTGGTCGGCGGACAACCTATGTGTCTCCCTCATCGATGGTGGAGGTGTCGTCGGTACAAATGGAGCTGGGAATCCCAAGGTCTGGCACACAAAGCACTCGCTCAAAAACCAAGCGCGACAGATCGGGCCCTTGAAGAGGATATGGTAGCGGGAGACAATCCAAGCAACTTTTTATTGATCTCGGAGTCCTGACGGTATCACATCCCATGGCTGCCACGTGATCTGAGGAAAAGAGAAACAACAAGATGATCAGTCGTCAAATAACTAATGTGGGTGCATCAGGTTAATTGAAATAATTTCGTTACGGAATTACCTCGCGCACTGTGACCGAGTCGAAGTACTACCAGAAGAACACAAAGCTCTCTCAGGTCCTACGACGGAGCTGGCCGTCATATACATCAGAGAATGGGACTGTCGCTGGGATCTCTTCCACAGGCTCTGGAGCAAGTGTCAGGAAGTATACGTACACCCACAGCTGTAAGGAAGATGTGATCAATACAGTGTATGAACAGAGTATAGAACATACAGAAAGCAGAACACAGTACAATGCATAAGGAGTGCAGGTCTAGAGCAAAGATTAGACTTTGTATGTGCTGTGTATGGTATGCAGTGTGCAATATGTACAGTGTACAGAAAATGCAAAGCAGAAAGCATACAGTGCAAGAGCAGATATAGAGAATGCAGAAAGTACAAGTGTTGAACAAAGAGAAAGCAGAAAATGCTAAGCAAATAATGAAAAGGGGAAACTAAGTTGTGTACCTCCCAAGCTCGCCAGTAGCCGCCAATCAAGGTCCCACACATCCGAGAGGTCGAGCTCATGTATCCATACAAAGTGGTAAGGCCAGCTGTGCCCTAATCATAGAAATGGACCCGCTGGAGCACCACCAGGGCGCTCAGGAAGTATAAACCCACAGTATTCCACCTGTTCGAAAACAAGGTGGTACTGAAAAGGAACAGGAGGAAGCCCCTGGCGTACTACTCCACCTCCTCATCAGTCTCGGGATCCTCCCCTCTGTAATGCTCCTTGAACCAGGTATATCTAACTATACCTGCTTGAAGTGTCAGTGGACGCGCTCCGAGTAGTGTATCCCATGCGGCCACCCACTCTCCCATGTCGGGATCCAGAGGAATCGGATCACCTCCTATGCCCAGGCCAGTGATTATGGCAAAGTCGAAGGGTGTCATCGTCGTCTCTCTCGTCGAGGAGAAGTGGAAAGAGTTGGTGGTGTCCCACCACCTCTCCACAAGAGCCCCTAGGAGAGGGCGACTCGCTATGACCCGTGTCAAGCTGGAGCAGAATAGGCCGAAGCCGGTCCCGTCTATGATTTGGTCGACCCTCGCAGGAAGCTCGTCATACCAATCCCAAGCTGTCGTCGCACCATAACCTCTGAAGGAGCGGGATCCGTCCTATGGCAATACATGTGATGTAATCAGATCAAGTGAAAAAAGTATAGTTGAATGCAAATCAGTGATGTATTGAAAGTACAGTTGAATGCAGATCAGTGATGTATTGAAAATACAGTTAAATTCAGAGCAGTGATGTATTGAAGATACGATTGAATTCAGAGCAGTGATGCATGAGGTACATTCGCATACAGTACATGCAGAGCAATGATGTGTGTATGAAATATAGTCAGATCAAACCATATGACGCAATCAAATCAAAATAGTGCAAGAAATGCAAATAGTTAAAAGTAATACTGCAGAAAAGTAGAGTTAGTACCTCCACAGCAATGGCTGATAAGTGAGACATGGGCTCTCTCAGCCAGAGGTCGTCTGGCGCGCCCTCATTGAAATCAGTGAAGGCATCGATGCCTTCCGCCACTGGTACAATATGAGCCTCCGGGTGATACCTCGCGGGGTCAAAGGGTACTGTAGACACCCCATTTTTGACCGTCCTCAAGACTTGGACGTCACTGTTTGAACACACGGTGATCTTCCATGTTTGTGTTCGTTTGGAGTTCCCGGAGGCCTCGGCTCGCGCGCCTTGCCTCAGGATTTCCGAACTTGACCGTTTAGTGTCTGGTTTTGCACCAAACACTTGCATCTTGCCTTTGAGAGGCAAGGTAGGGCTTGTACACCATCCCTACCCACCACCGGCAGTGGCTAGATGCCACCGGCTGATTTTTACTGCCACCGGCAATATAGTTTGCCGGTCGGCACTCTTTGTTGCCGGTCAGCACTATTTGTTGCCGACCGGCACTCCTTTTGGCCAAGATAGCATTTTTGGCCAGCCGATTGCTGTTCATCTGCTTTTGCAGATATTTTTAGACAGCTGTCTTGCTATTGCATCCCTCCAAACACGTGTATGGAGGGATCCTCCTCTTATAAAGCTTGTCTTGTAAGCTTTACAAGACAATATAGAGAGAAGCTCTCTCTAAGGCAAAAAGGGAGGCTTGGTTAGAGACTTAGGATATTTTTGAGAGCAAGAACAGCCATTGTTAGGGTTTGAGTTCTAGGGTTAGAGTTAGATACACACTCTATCTCTCTTTCCTTCTCTTTTGTTCACTAGGTGCTTTGTGTCTTACTATTGCACACAAACACCTAGTGTTTCACCTTCCTCTTGAAACTAGGGTTCTAAAGGCTTGTTCTTGAGTTTCTTGACTGGTTTGAAGCCAAAGGAGGCCATTGGAGCACAATTTGTGAAGGGGTCTTCAAGGGTGAGATTCTAGTCCCTTTTTCCCCCATTTTTGCATTGATTTTATACCTATCTTAGAGCTGTTTTTGTGATTATTGTATAACATAAAAAAGTTCTGTTTTTAGGCCCTCTTTATTGTTTATTAAGAGTGTTTTGTTGTTTGAGGGTTGTTGACCACCC